CCACTTCCAGCTTTTTTTTTCTTTTTGCTTATGTGGTGCTGGGGAATCGAACCCAGGGCCTCAGGCATGCCAGGCAAGCGCTCCACCACTGAGACACCTTCCCAGCCTGAAATGGCGACTTTCTTGACCTGAGGCGTTTTGGGGCTGGAACAGCACGCTGTAGAGAGCCACATGGCAAACAGATAAAGCATGACAGGAGGCCGGGAGCATAAGCCTAACGAGGCCAGAGTGACTCAGGGGCGCAGTGCTCTCCTTCCTTTCCTAACTAAACTGTCTTCTTACCTTTATGCAGGTAGCACATGTTGGTATCAACTCCCTGGTAAGTGAATTCAAGCTAGTTAAGTGACTTAGCTGTCAAAAGGAACAGACAACAGGATCGCTTCATATCATAGAACTAGAGCAAGTGCCAAGAACCCAGCAGAGCTGCTCTGCGGGACCCAGGGGCGACACACAGCGGTAAAAACTACCAGGGTACACTAAAGGGTTCATTCCTTAAGTGAGGATCATTTAGAATACACTATATAATCATAGTAGTGATATCATACCACGGGTCCAGTTTTTTGTTTTAGTGGTGATGAGGGCTGGAGCTAAATACATGGTCTACTACTGAGGTCTACAAGTCTAGATAATTAGTATTGTTGTTGCTGTTGTTCTTAAAACTGTACCTAAAAGTCCTAAAAAAATTAAAACTGTCTTTTTTTTTTTGCGGTGGGGGGGAGGGTTGGGCAGTGAGGGTGGTTGTGGGACTTGCACTCAGGGCGTGGGTGCTATCCTTGAGTTCTTTTGCTCAATTCTAGTATTCTACCGCTTAAGCCACAGTGCCACTTCCAGTTTTCTGGTGGTTAACTGAAGATGCCCAGGCTGGCTTCAACTGTGATCATCAGATCGCAGCCTCCTGAGTAGCTAGGATTACAGGGGTGAGCCACTGGCACCTGGCCAAAACTGTCAGCTTTTAAGACTTTAGCTAGTACATGCATGTCCTACTATGCCTGGCAATAAGTCCATTTTCAAATACAAATTCTCATGTTACTTTTTACGATGCTTAGAAACGTCATTAAAAAATATGCTGGGAAAGTGACTCAGTGGTAAAGCATGCCTTGCATGCATGAAGCCCTGGGTTCGATTCCTCAGCACAACATAAGCAGAAAAAGCTGGAAGTAGTGCTGTGGCTCAAGTGGTAAAGTGCTAGCCTTGAGCAACAGAAGCTCTGGGACAGCGCCGAGGCCCTGAATCAAAGCTCCAGGACCCACCAAAAAAAAAAAAAAGACACCTAGCCAGGTGCCGGTAGCTCACGTCTTTAATCCTAGCTACTCAGGAAGCTGAGATCTGAGGATTGCGATTCAAAGCCAGCCCAGGCACCATAGTCCATGAGATTCTTATCTTCAATAACCACTCAGAAAACCGAAGTGGTGCTGTGGTTCAAGTGGTAGAGCGCTAGCCTTGAGGTGAAGAGCTGAGGGACAGCGCCCAGGCCCAGAGTTCAGGCCCCAGGACTGACGAAAAACAAAAAACAAAAAAGACTTCCTTTACATAGGCCATTCAACAAAGCAGTTTATGAAGGCATTCTGTTGTCATTCTTACCCACCTGTCTGGCTCCACTCTGTCCTAGGAGATAGTACACACTTCCTTTGAATACATATTTAATTTCCCAAAGAACCCAACAAAATGATGGAGGTACCTTTAAACTGCATTTCCCATTCTCGAACACTCTCCATTTGAACTGCATTCAAGTCGGAAAGGTCATCATACTCATCTCTGAGAGCATCCTTGTCTAGGCAGAATGTGGCCAGGCCCCTGGAGGCATCTCTACCAGCAAATATCCCATATGGACCGGCTACAAAAAGAAACAACTTCGTTTGCTCAATGTGCAAATTTTAAAAAACCCTTGCCACATCTATTATTTGTCACCCAGTTTTAATTTCAAAATACGTAATAGACGAAGCATTGAGAAAAGGTTTGATCAAAGTACAGCCTTTCAAGGGAGCCACAAGCCCTGAATTTAAATTACTTCAGACGCCCTCAAATGCATTCAAAACAACAGTGAGGCGGTGAGGGCAGGGAAGAACGTGCCAGTGACGTCCTGTTGTGTGACGACGCTCAGCTCATGCACGCCCACCACACAGGTCCTACATGAACGTCCAGCTCCGCTCAAACTCAGGACTTTGTACACCTGCTTGCCTTTCATTATCATGGCTTCTGCTCTACCATTCAAGCCACAGCTCCACTCTAGTATTTGGAGATGAGTCTTACAGACTTTTCTGCCTGGGATGGTTTTGAATCTCATGAGTAGCAAGGATCAGAGGTTTGAACCATCAGTGCCTAGCTAGGGTGTTGCTTTTGCTTGAGCCGGCTTGGACTTTGATCGTATTAATGCTTCCCTCTCCAAGAGTGAGTCCCTACTACTGCACCCTTTTCTTTTTTCTTCTTGTCGGTCGGGAGGCTTGAACCCTGGGCCTGGGCGCTGTCCCTCAGCTCTTCAGCTCAAGGCCAGTGCTATGCCACTTGAGCCACAGTGTCACTCTCGGTTTTCTGGTGGTTAAATGGAGGTAAGAGTCTCATGGACTTTCCTGCCCAGGATGGCTCTGAACCGTGATCCTCAGATCTCAGCCTCCTGAGTAGTTAGGATGACAGGTGCAAGCCACTGGCACCCAGTTGCACTCAAATTTTTATTGGTTGAGATGGATTGGCTCTAACTTTTGCCTGAGCTCCAAACATGATCCTCGCCTCAGATTCCTGAGTAGCTAGGATTTAGGCATAACACTGTGTCAAGCATTGTGCCACTATGTGTCAGGTGCTGTGCTAGTCTTGTTATAATTTCTGGGAACCAGATGGAGTAGGTCTAAGAATTAGTTCCTAACACATTAAAAAAATTTTTTTTCTGGTATAGGGATTGAATGCATGGCCTTACACCACTTGAACTATGCCTCTACTTCTTTCCCCCCTCCTCCATTTTGTCTTAGATATCCAGAGTTAACTTCACTCAAGCCAGCTTCCAACTTGTGGTCCTCTTTTTTTTTGGGGGGGGGGTCCGGATGTGGGGCCTGAACTCTGGGCCTGGGCGCTGTCCCTCAGCTCTTCAAGGCAAGCGCTCTACCACTTGAGCCACTGCACCACTTCCAGCTTTTTCTGCTTATGTGGTGCTGAGGAATCGAACCCAGGGCCTCAGGCATGCAAGGCAAGCACTCTACCACTGAGCCACCTTCCCAGCCCTGTGGTCCTCCTCGATATATCGACTGGTGCTGCAGGTGTGTGCCAGCCTATCGCTACGATGAATGCTTTATTTCTTTGGGAGGAATGGAATAACTGACCCAAGTGAAGCATTCCTTGTCTGTCCTCCAGAGCAGCCACTGTCTTGTTCATCTGTCTTCAATGCCCAGGCCAGTGGCTGGCAGGAGGAATGTAATTTCTCTCAAATTAGTTAGCTGTACTTCCAAACAGGGAGAAACTAGATTTGGCCCTTTTAAACAGATCCACTTATGAAAGCAAAATCCTGACCCACAAGAAAAAGAGACAACATTTCTGGAGAATGAAGAGAAAGTTTTACACATGTAATTGGCAAAGGCTAGCTGTTTGGGAGTTTTTTGGTAGTACGGGGTTGAACTCAGGTTCCTTGGGCTCTCTCGGCTGGCCTTCTCAGCTCGGATGCTCTACCACTTGAGCCATACCTCCAGCCTGACTCTTTATTGGTTACTTTTGGAGATGGGGTCTCAATAACCTTTTTTGTCTGGACTTACTTCAAGTTATGATTCTTCAGATTTCTGACTCTGGAGGTGAGTGAGAGCCACTAAAGATATTTAAAGAGTTAACTCTGTCTTCATTCTTATCTGCAGAATGGAACAAGTAGATTTTTCTGTTTCAACTTTAAAAACAAATGATGCAAAGGCCAGGTCAGACATGGTAGTTCACACCTGTTAACACCTGTTACTTGAGTGGTGCGGGTCAGGGGGCTGTAGTTCCAGCCCAGGTATAAACCTTTCCAACAATAAACCAGATGTGTCGGTGCATGCCTGTAATCCAGGTCGGAGGGTCACGGTCTGAGGCTGGCCCTAGGCAAAAAGCACAAGACACGATCTGAAAAATAAAAATAGAAAGGGCTGGGAGTGTGACTCAAGTGGTAGAATAACTGCCTGTCATGCGCGCACACACACACACACACACAGATATGCTAATAAGGAACAAAACATAGTTTTACAAAGGATAGTAGCCTTCCTGCATCTATAAGGCAACTATATATGACAAAGGTCACAGCTTAAAAACCAGAATTTCTGGTTTTACTATTATGAATTGTTCTAATAAGAGGGCTCATTAGAACAAAGCTTTTTCTAATGAAAAATAAAGTTGCTTGATTTATTTAAAATGACTGCAGTAAAGACTATACATATATTTAAAGCATTTACATGCCAAAAAGTATCTGTTCATTGAGACAAGAAATCATTGTTTCACCTTAATAAACAAAAATTAATGAAAACCAATCTGAATTCCGACAGTAATGCAGTTCATAAGATAAAAGAAATTATAACCGGGCGCCGATGGCTCATGCCTGTAATCCTAGCTACTCAAGAGGCTGAGATCTGAGGATCACAGTTCAAAACCAGCCCAGGCAGAAAAGTCTATGAGACTCTTATCTCCAATAAACCACCAGAAAATTCGAAGTGGCGCTGAGCCTCAAGTGGTAGAGCGCTGGCCTTGAGCTGAAGGACAGTACCCAGGCCCAGAGTTCAAGCCCTATGACGACAAAAACAAAAACAAAAAAACACCAACCAAAAAACCTACTTCAATGAAAGCTGATCAATAGGGGCTGGGTGGGGAAGAGAAGGGAAGGGAAGAGGCTCTGTTGGGGGCAGGAGGGGAGTAGCAAGAGGGTTGGAGAGGGCTGGGAAGGTGGCTCAGTGGTAGAGCGCTTGCCTTGCATGCCTGAGGCCCTGGTTTTGATTCCTCAGCACCACATAAGCAAAAAGAAAAAAGCCGGAAGTGGCACTGTGGCTCAAGTGGTAGAGCGCTAGCCTTGAGCTGAAGAGCTGAGGGACAGCCCCCAGGCCCAGAGTTCAGGCCCCACAACTGGACCCCCCAAAAAAAGAGGGTTGGAGAAACCGACTGGTACTACCCTGGGCAGGGAGAGGGAAGAGAGTGACAGAGAGGAGAGGTGAACAGAGCACACTGCGCACAGGAATAGAAAGGCACAAAGACTCCCTTCCTGCACAGCTAATGTATGCTAGTAAAAAAGCTACTGAAAATAAAATTTAAGAGAATCAACAAAAAAGTCCATCGCAACAGCAACTTTCTTTTTTTTTTTTATTGGGGTCCGGTCATGGGGCCTGAACTCTGGACCTGGGCGCTGTCCCTCAGCTCTTCAGCTCAAGGCTAGCGTTCTACCACTTGAGCCACAGCACCACTTCCGGGTTTTTTCTTTTTTGCTTATGTGGTGCTGAGGAATCGAACCCAGGGCCTCAGGCATGCAAGACAAGCGCTCTACCACTGAGCCACCTTCCCAGCCCAGCAACTTTTTTTTTTTGTATTCTGTTATAATATGAACCTCCACTACCTGTAAAAATTTCAGCAGGCACTTTCAGAGTATATAAAACACATAAAAAGTTTTTAGTATAAAAACAGCAAATAGGGGCTGGGAAGGTGGCTCAGTGGTAGAGTGCTTGCCTTGCATGCATGAGGCCCCGGGTTCGAGTCCTCAGCAACACATAAACAGAAAAAGCTGGAAGTGGCGCAGTGGTTCAAATGGTAAAGCGCTAGCCTTGAACTGAAGAGCTCAGGGACAGCACCCAGGCCAAGAGTTCAGGCCCCACAACAGACAAAAATTTAAAAAAAAAATAAGAAAAATAACTTTCTCTGCCAACATCTTGAAGGAAGCCTCAATACTGAATGAATATAAAAATAAAACACAATATTTTCTTTTTTCTGGCTTTAGATAGCTGGCTCAGAAAAAAATAAATGAATCAACAATACAAACAAGTTCTAGAATTATTTATTTATGCTTAAAAGGACTGATTAACATATTACCTCCCACCCTCCCCCCCAAACCCTTATCTACTGTCTTCTCCTGACCTAAGGTTTAGAATCTTCCTCAGAAAGCATTCAACTGCTGAAAAAAGTCTTTTCAGGGGCTGGGAAGGTGGCTCAGTGGTAGAGCGCTTGCCTTGCATGCATGAGGCCCTGGGTTCGACTCCTCAGCACCACATAATCAGAAAAAGCCGGAAGTGGCGCTGTGGCTCAGTGGTAGAGCGCTAGCCTCGAGCTGAAGCTGAAGAGCTGAAGGACAGCGTCCAGGCCCAGAGTTCAGGCCCCACGACTGACAAAAAAAAAAAAGTCTTTTCAGAGAATCCGGAACTACAGGCACACATGCGTAGCTTGTTATGAAAGGGCTGGAGTTTCTTACTAGGCCTGGCCTTGAACCATGACCTCTCCCATCTTGGTCTCCCTTGCAGCTGGATTAAAGGTGTGGGCCCCAAGACCCAGCCCTTACTTAGAAGGCCATTTTAATTTCAAAGTTTAATATACCAAAGCAACGTCATAATAGTTGGAACTTATACTCAGCCATTACTTTTTAAGAGTTAACTTGCAGTTCATATTTTTACAATTTAAATCAGCAAATTTAGTTACTATGCCTTGAAACATGGAATTGGGTGACAAATTTTAAAATTTAAAGTTAGTGAACAATCCAAGTTACTCAGTCCTAGTTGGCTTCCAAGCAGGAGGCTGGGATAGGAGCTGCATTATGTAGACTATCCATGAAATAGTTGTCTTTATGTTGTCAACTCTTGCTTAAACTGAATTTCTGCAAAATAAGTGTTAAAATTAACACACTGAATATGGAGTTTAAAA